TTTTAACCGCTGGAAAAATATGAAAGAATTTAAAAATGGTGATCTAGTATATTTACTTATACCAGACTCTAGCAACAAGCTATATGCTAGGTGGACAGGACCATGTGAAATTGTTGAAAGAGTAAATCCTCATTCTTATAAGGTTAAATTACCAGATGGGAGTGTGTGGCATGTTCATGTAAACAAAATAAGAAAATTTTATGTCCAAGCACAAACTGTGGGAGTAATATTTGAAGATGATTCTGAGTGTGGGGAAATTCACCCAACTCCAAATAAAGGAGACAGGGACATCGAGGTGGATATTTGTCATTTAGATGGCAGCAAACAAAAGGAATTACACAAGCTTTTACTCAAGCATATCGCATTATTCTGTAAGATCCAAACAGCCAGTGTTGGTGAACATAGAATTTGGTTGTTACCTGGAGTAGATAAGCAAATCAAATTAGAGAGCTTGGGTCTTATTGAGCCAAGTGAAGCTAAAATAGCATACCCACTCATATGTGTTGCCAAGAAAGACGGAAGTATGTGTTTATGTATTGACTTTAGATTGTTGAACCAAGTAACCAAGCCTGTTGATTTTCCAATGGAGAATATGACTGATCTAATCAATAAAATTGGACATGCGAATATTATCACTTGTTTAGATGTTTTGAAAGGTTATTGAGAAATACCTTTAGAAGAAGAAAGTCGTGATTTAACATCATTCAAGACATCATTTCCAATACCGTTGGGAGGTGATGCCTTTCGGATTAAGAAATGCAGCTTCTACTTTTGAGCGAGTGATGAATGATGCCTTAAGAAAACATAGTGATTTTTGCAAAGCCTATATTGATGGTATTGCTATCTTTTCACCAGATTGGAATTCACATCTCAAGCATTTAGATGCTGTGCTAACTACATTAAGTGATCTCAGATTTATGGTGAATGTAAAGAAATGTGTTTTTGCACATTCGGAGATAAAGTATTTAGGACATATAATAGGAGCTGGAAGACATCAACCTGATCCTGAAAAATTGCAAGCCATCGATATTATGAAAAGTCCTAAAACGAAGACTGCTCTAAAGAGTGCATTAGGCTTATTCAACTATTATCATGATTACATAAAGAATTATGCAGAAATAGCTCACCAATTGACGGAGCTTAGGAAAAAGAAAATTCCTGATATAATTCCACGGACTGATATATAGGAATCAGCATTTCAAGATCTGAAATGTCGACTGTGTGAAGCACCAAAACTTTACACCCCAGATCCAGAAAAACCTTATATCATGCAGTGTGATGCTAGTTCATATGGTGTTGGTGCATGCTTGTCACAACAAGACAGCTAAGGCAGTTTGCATCCTATCCAGTCAAAAACTTTCGAAAACTTGAGATGTCGAGAATTGGTCAACTATTGAACGTGAGGCTTATGTCATTGTGTGACCATTAAAAAAATTTGAGTGTTGGGTATTTGGATCAAATATCAAGCTGATCACAGACCGTAATATATTTGCATAAGTCGGCACCTCAATCTGCCAAATTACAAATATGGGCAATGGCACTTCAGCGCTATAATATTCATATTTCTCATTGCCCTGGTGCACAATTAAAAACTGCAGATAGTCTTTCAAGACTAGTTGGTGAATGAAATAGGTATGAACTAAGTATGAACTGATATGTTTAAGACTTTACATTAGTTATTTTTCTTTTGTTCCGGAATTGTACAACAGCTACTTTCCATCTGTTTTGGAGAAAAAAAAAAAAAAAAAGGAATTTATTTAATGTTGCATTATAATATTCTGTTTTGAAATAGTATTGCATATATGTTTTACTACAGAACTCCAATATTGTTATTACGTCATGTATACATGTCATATATTTTGAATTTATTTGGTTAAGAAAAAATATATAATGAAATATTAGGCAAGCATTGGCAAGATATTAGGCAACATTTGTAAAAGTGTTTATATATGTCATTTAAGTTCTTAATTGTTTATTTCAATGTGAGACTATTTAAATATTAATAAATGCATTAATTATTAAGCATTGGCTTATGGAGTACACAATTTAAATTTGTGAACTCAGATTCTGGTTCAGCTTTCAGATTCTGCTTCGCTTTGGCGTAGCACAATCTTACCGGGGGGGGGGGTGTCATGTATCTGGCTGCAGTCAGCCAATCAGCTGCCTGCCTCGCGGTAAGAATCCAGCAAGCGAGACAGACAAGAAGCTGTCTGCAGAAAGCGTGGTAGGGCATTTACATCCGAGTTCAATTTTAGCCAGTGTGGCAGATTAATTTGTAAGGTGTAGAAACTGTATTTGAACCAGATGGCGCTGTGTGCACCTGAATTCCTTTGAGGATTTCAGAACTTTGATGACTGTGAGTGATGTAACAACAAATTACAATTTAGTGCGAATTGCGAACTAAGTTTATAAGTGCTTCTTTATTGTAAATGTATTTATTGTATCGTCAATAAAAATTGGATAAAATGACAAAAGGCGAGAATCCTTGCTGCATCTGACAGGTAAGCAAAATTTCTCTATTATTTGATTTGAATATTGAGTTTTTAGATTTAATTAGCAAATGCAACAAAGAATGTATATGTGTATTTACACAAGGTATTAAACAACTGTGTTTCATTGAAGTTATTTTCTTAAATCATATAATATCAACGTCATGTAAATATTTGTACATAAAAGTCGTGCTTCTATATAATAAAGGATTCATTTTCCAATAATGTATTGTGTCACGTCTCTGCCATTCCGACAAGCATGACACTAAACATACACTTCAGTAAAAGTTTGAAGGAACTGATCACTTTTTAATTAGGTAGGTAATCAAGAGACCCAAGTTATGAATATATTACATAAAAGACTTAAACTGTTTGCCATAATTTTTTTCACTGCATCCCCATTGTTTATCCATTTTCAAATAAAGTCACATATCATCACATTAGCACAGTTTTCTTGATGCCAGGAACCCGTTATTTTCAAAAGGCTCATTGCATGCTCTTCCATTAAAGGCAAGTCCCAAATTTTAATCACTTTTTCAAAGTGAAACAGAAAATCAGATAAACAATAGCTAATTTAAATCCCCAAGTTCACATTATTTATTGATTTGTACGTATGTGTTCAGATCTAATGAGCAAAGAGGGTATCTCTTTAGAACTGTTTTTATGTATTACAGAGTCATAGCTAGGGTTTTCAACGCCCAGGGACAACTGAAGATTTCGCGCCCTCTACTGCTTGCCAAGGATGGAAAACATTTAATTCTAAAATGTTGTAACATCAGTTTGGCGCCCCATGGATTCTGCGCCCGGGGACAGATGCCCCCCCTTGCCTTCCTCTAGCTACGCCCCTGATGTATTACTTTTAGTTATTCTATTTTTAAACTTTTTTGTTACTCACTTCCTGCACCCTAGCCTTTCTGCTTATATAACAGTATGGATGGCCTTTGCTTGTTACTGCATGGGGCTTTCATTGCATCCTTATAGTTAAACATTGATTTGGCCAGTTAGATAGGGCCATGCCCTAAAATTACATCCTTATAAGTAAAATCTTGCATTTTTTTTAGCACTTATTAGATTTACATAAAACCAAAGCAAAGATCTATGATTGCATTATGACATAATTTTTTATCCATTAATGGCATAAAATCAGAATGTTCGGCAACAATTTTTTGAAAGTGGTGGCTAGGAAAGTCAAAAATAGACAATATTAAACATACTTGGAAAGGCAGTTCTTGCAATAAATTACACTTAACATGCCATATTCATTAACTTGGGAATCTCTGGTATGTTCCTTCCCAAACTACTAAACTGAAAGATGCACATGCTGTGCTCTTATCTTTTGAAGCCATTAATTTGAATATTTTCTTCATGCTTTTAGACAATGGTATACAGAACTGACAAAAGATAAGGGAACAACATGTGTGAAGGAAATGCTTGAAATAGTAAATAATTCTACAAACAGCACACATTGTATTCAATGCAAGTATGAACAAGAACATTAATCTCGGATTTCGAGAAAAAGGGGATATAATTTGAGGTAAGAATGCACTTTCTGATGCGAATGAATTTAAGGAATTAGGAGTCCGATGTTTTTTCTATCTGTAGTCTTTTGAAGTGAACATAAAAAAGCTTTAGTAAACTGCATTTGCTTTAAATAAAATACAGTTTATTTAGTGTTCCTTTTAGTAGTAAATATGGCTCCTGTCGAATGAAAAACGCAGTCATTCAGTTTGTGAAAGAAAATAGAAATTTGCAGGGATTTAGTGTTCATGAAAAAAGGAGGAAGCTTAATTGTTTCTTTGCTGCTTCGAAATCGTCCTATAATTCTTGTGCATGCTGTTTTCATGGTAAGTAAGCCACAGATCTGTTGTCTTCAAATTTTACAGATTTTCGAAATTTTCTAAAGGAAACATTGCTTTCTAAGTTGTAACTGTCACTAGATTTATAAGAAATTCATAAAGCTTCCAAATGACATAATTTTCTTACCAATTCAGATATCAAATCAACTTCTAAATTATTTTAAACTTCGAATTCAGTATGATATTGAATGTTTCTGATGCATTACATGAATTTTTTATTCCACACACAAACCAACCTAATTTTGTTTCTACCACTACTAATGATTGAGAAATTTGAGAGCATTCATCCATAAATTTGTTAAGCATCCAAAAGCAAATCTGACTTTTAAAGATCTTTACAAAATTCATAAATGATAAAATCAACATAATATTTTTATTTTTGAATAACATTACTAAATTTCTTAAATAACAAGAAATAAAATAATTATGTTTGGACATTGATAAGTTTACAGATAAGTTTGCAAAAAGAAGTGAAATAATTCAATTACTTTCTTTTGGACATTGAGTAGTTTTAGTTTACCATAGTTTATACATATATTTGATTTGCACAACTTGTACTCTGGGTACCCCTGATATAAAGAACACAACATGAAGATTCTAAGGGAAGCAAAAAGAAGTTTAATAAATCTCATATAAAAAGTTATTGCACACAAACCTCTGTTTCACATTCACCAGCTCGGACACTGTAAATTGGCTCATGTTCTTCTGCCTTTGATTGTCCACCACCAGCCTGAAGCTCAAAATAACTCGGAGCTGGGAAGGGGGGGAAAAAAAATTTTTTTTTTTTTTTTTTACTCCATATCAAATACCATCATACAAAACTCAGTGATAAAACTGGGCAATTTTAATTAGATATATTTGAATGAGATAACATATTTTATTTGTTGACTTGTTTTCACAAGGAATTTAATAGTTTTAGTACACACTTGAAAAGAATTTACAGTTGGAAATCTTTTGCCATAGTTTATTTAACTATCTAAGAATTTTCAATTTCGTATAATCACTGATTGTGAAAATGAATATAAAAACATACCTCTTTCTTCCAGGTCTTCAAATTCTTTAAACTGGATCCAGTCCTACAACATTAAAAAAATAATAATAAAATAAATAAAAAAAAATAAATAAATAAATAAAAACATACAAACAACAAAAAAAAAAAAAAAAGCTGATAGTATTATCTATAATAAATACATGCATATATATATATATACTTGTCATTTCATTTGTAAAACACTAAAAAAATTTCTGATGTCTAATCCTAAAATTTTTAGCAAAGCTGATCCAGTCTACAGCTTTCATATTACTGATGATATTAAGAAAACTTCTTTAAAGTTCCAATGGGGAAAAAAAAAAAAAAAAAAAAAAAAAAAAAAACCACCTACCTTTATTTCATAAAACAATCTCCTAGAAAATGGCTTTTTAGCACCATCTTTTTCCCTTCTATTCATTCTAAAATGCCAATCTAGATGACGGCTATATTGTTCACTCTGTATTTCTTTAAACCTCATCCCACAAGTAGCACACTGAGAACCTTTATACAGAGCACTTATGACACCTGGATAGAACCTTCATAAAAACAATACAAGTTATTTTGTCATTGAATAATAAGTGAATACTGAATATCAGTTAAAAATAATGGATATTACAGTTATTAATCAAAACAATTTATCTTTGGAAACAATCTTTTTGTCTTACAGCCTACAATTCCTGGTGCACTGCTGGTACAGCCCTAAGCAATTATCCTGAAGAACTGCACTTTCTTTTAAGGTTTTGATAATTAGCTGTGCTATATATTAAAGCCTATCGAATCTCTTCTAAGTGGGGAGAGAAAGTAAACTACACTCAATTTCTGAAGACTGGAATTAAAAAAAAAAAAAAAAAAGTCGATACAGTTTTGCATTGGTATTTCTGCTTCCATCCGCAGAGAGGCAGAATAGGACTGTTTTAATGCAATCAATAACTGAAGATTTATTTTTCCTACCGAATTCTTGAAACCATTTCTTCTAAAACTGCAGCTGTTTTTGTCCTTGCACTTAAGCATTTCAAAACGATTTTACTGCCAGGAAACAATTTTATAAAAAAGCTGCAGCATGATCCGATGCATTCAGTGGCAGGTTGTGCTGGGAAGGCAGGGAAGAGGCATTCTGCATTAAGAACTTTTTGCTCCTATGTTTCCACAAAAATATTTATTTTTTTTTCTCCAGCACAGCTCATAATAGTTCTTCCACCATGCAAAATCGAAAAATCGCAATGATAAACAATACACATTGCAATATTACATTTCTTTGAATGAGTATTTTAAATTTTTTGCAGACATAACTAAGACAAAAGATCGCAGTTTATTAAAACTGTTTCTGGGAACCATGTGAAACTTACACTGCCCACTCACGAAATGAACAAAATAAACAACCTTGATCTTCCTTTGTGCTCATTGGCTAATGTATACCAAATGACCTGAAGCGGCGCTTGATTCTCATTAAAAAACAGGAAAATGACATTTTCGAACACACATTCTGTACTCTCATACACAAAGCAGAAACGCTGCATATTTCAGTGTTGAAAAGACTTCAGTTTTTTTTACATACGTCTAGAGAAAAAAAAGCACTTTCAGATGCCCCAAATCACTTTACTGGGGGGGGGGAATAAATAACAAAATATTAAACTAAGCAATATAAAAATTGTGAGAAGTTTTAAGAATAAGATAAAGTCCGGAGAAATATGTTAAAAATTGGGTTGGCGGGAGTATGATCGGAAATCGGGAGAGTTGGTACCTCTGTTTAAGGTCGGAACAAAATTATTTAGCCTACTATATGCTTCAGTGATACTTTCATAGATTCAGTACAATACATGTTCCATGATTACAGTTTAGGTACATTCAACTCTGAAAGCATGCAGCAAGTTTGTTGGCTCATCTTAAGCCTGACTTTTCTAAGCATGAATTTCCTTTGCGAAGCTTGTACATCTTAAAGAGTTTGCATTTCATCCATTTCCCAGATAACAGAAATAGTAAATTTCAAGCATATTCTTACACTTAGCAATGGAGAATTGGTCAGTAAACTTTTCAAACTACGTCAAGTTGGGTTTCTTTTACAAATCAGTTGCAGAACCAGCCTGTAAATTATAGATAAAAAAAGCTATTCATCTTCTTAGCCCCTTTATGCAGTGTGGGAGCGAGCAAACACAAAGTGAATGAGTCAAAATTTAGTGTAGAACAAATAGAACTAAAGTTTTGCAAACTAAAGTTTTGCAAGAATGTGAACGGTCACAGAGAGAAAACAGACAGTGAAAAGCTCCAACTCTAATGTCAGATATCAGTGTCACACGACATAAAAACATTGTTACAAATTCTGTATTTATGTATATAATTTTAGTGAACTTATATGTGAAAGAGCAGTATTTTTTGTATAATGTGACTTCAAATACTTGAAAGAGATGATGCTCTGCTCAAAAGAAAATATTACAGAGACAGGTCTATTTAATATTGAGGTAATTTGGTGAGACATCACCAAGCTAACGATGGTTTTAGAGTGTAAATTTTTTCACCAAACTTGCCAACATTTTGGTCCAGTCCCTGTACAACTGTAATTGGTATTGAAGTTGAATAAATGCAATTGTTTCCTATATGTAACTCTGTGTCCAGCTCTCATATACCTTTTAGTAATTTCAAAAAATGGAAGCTACTAGAGATTTTTCAATGGCTAGGGGGAAACTATATGAGACCGGAGAGAGCATCAGGCTCCATTCAGATGTTTCAGGTTTTGGAAAGTAATTTTTGTCACCAAACTTGGTGACATTTTGGTCCAGTCCTTGTACAACTAATTGGTATTGAGGTTGAATACCAATATCAATTGGACGGGGGTGAGGGAACTATATGAGATCGGAGAGAGCAGCAGGCTCAATTCAGATGTTGGTATAAATGTCATAGAGGCATAGTCATAAGGCATAAAATGCAGAAATTCCATTCACACCTCGAGACAGGGGTCTCAGCTACAGCCTATTAGAGAAGCTAAATTTGCACAAGCATGGATGTGTCTACAGCTTTTCTGCTCAGTAGATTTTGCATGTTCACTCTAATTGATCGACTCTTATACCACATCGGCATAGAGTTGCAAACCTTGAACTTTATGCCAAAACCCCCTAAACAAGCTTTTGTGACATAGCAATGTTTGGTTACCTAGCAATGAAGCTCAGCTTAGACCAATGATGACATTTTTACTATCGTCTGAATGGAGCCTTAGTTCACAATTGTTTAGCTCACTGTGAGTTCAGAGTATTGAGAGATCTCTATACAAAATTTGCCTTTTTAGATGTTCTTTGCATTGTGCTGTGTTTAATATTATCAGTAGTTTGGAGTGCAACTACTGATTTTACTCTGTGATATTGACAAGAGTATTGTACGAGTATATTTGTGGAAAGTTCCATAACTAAAGTGTTTCTTTTGGTAAAAATAAATTTTACTAAGCCATCATCATTCTGTGTGCATTCAATCTATTATGAACATGTACACACACAATAGTATGCAATAAGAAAAATCAAGCCTGAGTTATGATTACTTCTATTTAAAAACAAAAAACTGCACAAAAGGTTTTGATTTCACAATTATTTCAAACAATTAAAATGAAATTTGATAATAAATTTTCTTATTTATGTTAATTTTCTTAAACTCATTTATAAGGGACAACAAAAATTTCTCTTATATTAAGAGATTTTTCACTATATAAATGCTAATTAAAAACTGAGAGAAATAATACATCAAGATAGTATAATAACACCAAAATTAAAAATTTTACACGAAAATTATGTAATAAAATACTTACTGCCTAAGACTTTTAGTTGTAAATTCAATTTCAGGAATAGGTTCAGTCTCAAGTGAAGCATCATTTTTATCTTCACTCTGTTTTTCAGAATCCTTTGGATTTTCACATGCAATGGGAGTTGATGTTTCCTTAGATTTGTTACCAATTATACCAGCAGCAACTAACTTTTGTAAGAATGATTCAACATTCACTGATCCAAATGTGTTAGAAAACTGAGGTTTTGATGGGACATTTAAATTATTCTGAGGAACAGGTAAACCTGAAAAAACATCAGAAAAAAAATTGACTTAAATAAATCTGTTCTTTATATTTATATATATTATATTATTACAGGGTTGCCACTCAAACAGGAGAATGGAATCCCTGACTTTTCCAGGTGTGTTTAAAGAAAATTCCAGTCTTTCCGCGTTGGATGTGCTGAGAGGTAAATTAATTACGGTACCTCTTGAAAACACAAAAATTTGCCAACTGGTTATGACTTATACCAAAAGCAACAACCTATTACAACTAAAATATTTGTTTTCTCTACTGAAGATTGAGATTAGAATCTGCCCAATCTGGATTAAAAAATGTCTTTCTTGCACACATTTTTCAGCTAAATCAAAGACAGAAATCTATTTAATGATATTTAAAAATAAATTCAGATATTTTATTTTCATTTAGCAGCATACATAAGCAAAAAATATGTGCATTAAATTTCATGATTGTATGTCACCGTACTGCTAGAATTAGTTTCAGGAGTATGCCAGAGAAAATTGTCTGAAATTTGAAAGTATTTATTAACTAATAATAAACAAATTTAGAAGGAAGAAACCACATTAAATGGTACGAATAACATTTAAATAAAGTTGATTACTTAAAGATTAAAAACTGAATTACAATAATCAATGATATTTTGGCAAATATAATTATATTAAATGGTTAGCCTAGATGACTGATTACTATTTTTTACTGCAAAATGACAAATAAAGCATTTATTAAAAAGGATAAAAAAAGGAAAAGATTTTGTGGCAAAATCCTAGTATACGGTACAGTCTTAGCATAACTTTGAAAATTGTGGCTAACACCAAAATGACTTGTTTACTACTCATCATTATGTCGTCAAATACCATATACTAGGATTAAACCGATTTTGTTTTATACGAGAATGGGAAGATATTTTCTTCGTTCAACATGCACTGCCCATGCAAATCTTGATGTTACTGGAAACCAAAGCTGCTGGAAACTTGCTTTGCCTTTCTAAAAGACAATCTGATTGGAGCTCCTAAAACTGGCTCTATATCAGCTGCCTGAATGATGTTCATGTTACACATAATTTGCCAAGAAAGTGCTTGCTTAAAATGTTGGCATGAAAAACATTTGAGGATCGCTGCACGAAACTCCCTGACTTTTACAGATTTTGACTAAAATATTTAAATTCCGTTACTTAAAAAAGTAACTTTTTGAAAGACAATTTTCGAATTCTCCAACTTTTCCCAGTTTTTCAGGTAGTGTGGCAACCTTGTTATTATATTAAATATAATAAATAAATATGTTCATTATATTTAATTAAAAAAATTCTTCTAAAATAAGAAAAAGAAAAAGCAGAAAATCTTAAATAAAACATTAAAAAACAAAAACAAAAGATGTACATCACTAGATATATACACAGTTCATAAAAATTAAATGGTATTGACAGACATTTAACTAAACTGTCATTTACAAACAAAAAAACAAAAAAATTAAAAACAATATGTACAAAAGTATTATTTAATATAAATTACAATGCTTGCCAAATGCTCAGTCTCATTTAAATTCAAATTTAAGGAAATTAAAAATAATGGAAATTGACCTCCTATATTTTGCAACAAGTTTTTCTTTAATGAAGTGCGTGGTCATCTCCGACAGACAAAAAACTCACATCTTAATTAAAAAAAATTACCAAAATGTTGACTGAATTTTGCAGAATTGCACACCATTCTTCTGAAAGCAGATTTTTCAGATCCTAGAGGGAGCCCTAAACCATTTGGGGTGCTCGTTGCTATCCAGCAAATTAAAGTACACTACCACATACTCAACCTGGTCCGAATCAAGCGAGTAAGCTGGCCAATTCATCAAGAGATATCTTCTATTTCCAATATTCTGACACCAGAGATGTCTGATGCAGTGAAGTATTGATATCCATTAACAAAATAAATAGGCTAACAGCTACTTTAAACAGCCTTTCATGGGGTTCTAAGACCTCATCCACATATCTGTGACTTGTTATAGAACTTTCATGAAAGATCTGGAGCTTGGTGCTACTATTTTTGATGATCTCCCCTTCCAAGCCATGAAACATTTTTATTGAAACAGAATCTTTTATAAAAAGAAGGTAAGTTCCATGTTCCTAGCTTACCCCAGATCAAAACACATCTAGAATCACAGTTCAAAACTATATCTGGACCATTTCAATACACGGTACACAATCCCACTCATCTCGACTGCAATGATTCAATGATGACACCCCTTTATATGGGCCCTATTGGAAGAAGAAGAACGTAGGACACAAACCACTGGTTTTCTCACATAAAATCCAAACTTTGAAGTCTTTGTACACTAAAAGAATGGCTGATTTGATTTCTGTGTCTGCTTGAAGGTCTGAAACCAGCTCTGTTACAACTGCTTTATGTTTTTCTCAGCCAACAATGAGACTGTTGGCAAAAGATTGGGAGGCTGCTATTTACCATAAGTTAGTCAATTTCACTGCACATCTGCTACTATCGAATGGAAGATTGCCCTGCAATAAAGCAAACAAGTGAAGCAAAGACACTGTATATCTCTAATTGTTTCCATTAATCAGCAATGAGAGAACAACAGTCTTCAGTCCTGTGTTTTCCCTTAACACGGCTGTCTATCAAATTCACTGCTTTAAAAATGATTCCAAGATCTTGGGTGACCACTATTTGTGTTCCCACTTGAGTCTATTAATTAACTGCCCTTTTTGCATTTCTCATGCATGATGTCTTTAAGTTACAATTAATAAATACTGCTCACTCTCAGAAAACACATTAACAATACTACGCCTCTGATTTTCAACATGCAGCTATTACCCAACATATTGTCAGTTGCCTAATTTACATAATTTGTGAATTAACCTATGCACAGAAGCCCAATTTCTAGTTCAGTTGTAAGTAAATTAACATAAATAATCATATCACTGGACACTGGTTGAATGCTTTAATCAATGAGCACAATTTTTTCAGATAATCTTTAAATTTTTTACAGGTCACAAGGAATATATTATGAATGCTGTTAGTCATATTAAATTCATATATTGCCTGCTCCATAAAATCATTTTTTTTCATGAAAATATTGAGATAAAAATGCAAACAAATGAACACTCGATTCAGTAAGAAGATCTGATTACATATCACACTCTTCTGCAAGCATCATATTTATACAGATTAAAAAATACTACAGTTTAATTTATTGCAAAAAAAATATAAGAGTATATTTCCATTACAATATTTCTATCATTCAATTACTCACTTGTAGCAGTAGTAGAAGCTGCAACACTAGCACCAGCTAATGTCATTGGTACAGATAGAATGGGAGGGAGAGGTGGTGGTTGTAATAATTCCGTAGTAAGTGCAGGAGGTTTTAACAGTTCAGGATGTGGTAGTGGTGGTGGCTGTAACAATTCAGTATATGATGGCACTGATGGTTTTAACAACTCAGAATGTGGTGGCACAGGTGGTTTTAGCAATTCAGAATGTGGTGGCATAGGTGGTTTTAGCAATTCAGAATGTGGTGGCACAGATGGTTTTAGCAACTCAGAATGTGGTGGCAGTGGTGGTGGCCTCAGTTGAGGCCTTGGTAAAGGTCCTGGAAACATAGGTGGTGGAGGCAGAGGTTGCCATGGTTTTGCTGCTGTAGTAACTTGAGGACCTGTGTTAAAACTAGATGCCACAGATGATGATTCAGTCCCATGAAAATCAGGCTGCTTCCAAGGAGGTTCAGTATTCTTTTGAATCAGATTACTATCACTAAAAATAAGATTAGAGGTATAGCAAATCATAACTACATACACAGAACAATCTAGTTATAAAAGCTTGATAAATATTTAATTATATAACTTTAAAGAGTTATTTAATTTCTTCTCATCACATCTAGAATCACAGTTCAAAACTATATCTAGAATCACATTGTACGAATAGTACAATAAATCTTAAGACAGTCTGAATAAAGATTATTGAATATTTTAATTATTTTTTGATATATTATAATTTTATTTTCAGATTTCCTGCAAAATCTACAAAAATACTATAATCTAACAAGCACATTTTGTATCATATAAGCAGAATATTTTCAGAATTACAGAAAACTAAGACAAAAGATCCCATGATCACAAAATATTAATATGGAATTTAACACATTTCATTGTTTCTTTAACTAAACCAGAGAAATGGAACTGTATCCAGCTCATCCAGGGCATGGCTGAAGTCAGTTTCCTGCCGAATGTGATAGATTTTTGTGGAGTCAGTTTCCTGCTGTTTGTGATAGACGGTCAAAATTAATATATGGTGACTGAAAAGTCACGACCCTTACAGTTTAAGAAACTAAAAAAAAAAAAAAAAACTATTAATTATTTTAATGTTAAACAGTAGTTATAGCACTGAATTGCAAAAACATGTTACGACATTTCTGAAAGCATTCAATTTCCCAACCAATGCTAAAATTGTTTTGTTCTTGCAGTCATACTACACAACAATCCAAAAGCTAGCACATGTACATGGTAAGGCAATATTTCATTCATCATTCATATACAAAAGAATTTTGTTTGCAGTATCTGAATATTAGTATGCCTTTGCCCACCTGGTGCAATTTCTGTTGCTCTTAACACATATAATCTACGTATATATAATAAAGTATATAAATGGGAAATTTATAGACTAAACTCAATTTTAAATGCTAGCAATTTCATGACAGAGGATGCCCTGAAATCTGTTCTGACATTAATACTGAATGATGCATTCCAGACCTCAATGAATATCAAAAGGTTAAATTCTTAATGACTGTACTGGTTGCAACAGCTCCCTGATGTCACATGAACAAGAGATGCATTCCTCTCCTTGAATAATTTTCTCAGCAACAAGAGACAGCTTCAAAAGAAAGTGGCACTCATTTGTTTTAAGCAAGTGAAACATCTTTAAAATAAAAAAAAAAATATAAAAATAAAAGCTTTCAGATTTCAAATTATGTCCAAGGGGGCCTTTTTTTTTTAACGTTTTGTGCATTACCTTTATTTATTAAACATCAAATTCCTTGCACTTAAACCATAAAATTTAGTTCAACTGCAATGCTGCAAAATAATTTTAAAATGAGCTATCTTAGAATTCTGATACCAATTCTTCGCGCTGAGTAAAAAATCCTACCACGTAGAGTGTTGCCATTCCTGCTTTTAAAGCCTGGTTGTTAGCAAAAATTTGTGTTAAAGTTTTACAAATAGAAATGATAAAAACAATTCCAAATTTCAATTTGGCTGTAAGATGCCCATTCGCAGTAGGATTACTTATTCAAAATTGGAGGCTCTATGTCCATTGTTTATCACAACGTGAGAATAGAAACATTATGCAGATTCTATTATTAAGTTCCCAATATAATGCAGGCTCAACATTTGGTGGCAACATTTGAAAGTGATATACGCGTTTACAGTTATTCACGCAAACGAAAAACATGTCTTCAGACAAAGCTCCTTTGGACTAAAAAAAAAACGGATTCTTTTAAAAAAAAAAAAAAAAAAAAAAAAAAAAAAGAAAAACATACATTTCTGAGTCTTTTATGACATCTGAGAGCCTATCTGTTTGTAAAGGAGGAGGAAGAGGCATTCCTAGTCTCACAGTAGAATGACTAATTTCTGAAGGCTGGGCAATTTGATTTTTCCATTCAGGTGTTCCCTGCAAAATTTTATTTTACAAATACAATAAAAAAATATTTAAATTAGTAAGACAACAAAAAACTACTTAACGCCAAGTAAAAGAACATAGTTGAAATTTAAAACCACACAATCATGTAAAGAGATGTATTATTCATCTGTATCACATGAGAATATTTACCAGCATGCTAAAATTAAAAATTTCTACTTTACTCTACAGTGTTCGTACACATTTCTGCACACAGAAATTAAGTACTTTTAAGGACTTTCAAGGGGCATTAATGAAAAAAATTAAGGACCTATAGGCAAATGGAAGCTGAATTAAATTCAGTTAAAGATATTATCTATGCTTGAAATTCACTATTGTAATACCATCTTAAGAATAAAAATAGATCCTTAAGTGGGATGCATTATTATTACACATAATTATAAAGCAAAATTCAGAATAAAATCAACTTTCAATAAAATTTATCAAGTAGGATTGAATATTTTACACTTAAAATAGTTACACATATTTGAAAGAAGATTAGTGACATTTTATTACGTTTTACTAACGATTAGCTTCATACTGATTTTTTCTTTTTGTCTCATTTTATCACATTCCTTGGTCAGACTAGAGGTTTAGTAAATAGTAGGTAGATTTTATGTCAAACAGCATAGGCTAAAATGAGAAGTAAGATCATAATCAGCATGATTCATAACAAAAGACTGAATGTTATCAATGCTCCTGCTTGTCTAGAGAGACCTGCTGATTAGAACAAACCTGAAAGGCCTGATGTAGGCACGGTTGGGCAAGTGTTGAAAGTTAGTCAGGCTCTGTTTGATGCAGTTAGTGTCGTAGCTTCGTGTAGAGTTCCAGGGCTTGTAACCCAGTTAATATGCTTTACGGTTCCAATTAGCCATTAAAGCACCAGAGGTGATAAGTTGTTTTGTATTATTTTAAGTCTCACTAGATGCAAAGAATATGTTTTATTTGAATTTTTACATTTTTGTGTTTCATCTGGTGACCACAGTCAATATTAATGAAATGCAATAACTCGCTTTAATATGTAAAGATAATTTTTAAGGGTAGGCAGTTAGTTATAAATAATTAAATTAGGTAGATAGATAACCTTAGGATTTACATGACCACTATTTTTATTTTTTAACAATATTTGTTAAAAAAGCCCTATTAAAATCAAAAACTAATAAAATTTCACAGTTTAAAATGCATGTAATTTATGACATTGATTCTTAAACGATATTAGGATACTTACACATTAAATGCTACAAATGCTATATTTTGTAACAAGAATACTCAACAAAACATTTATACGCCTTTTTAATTTGAAGCCTTCCCAAACATTTTGGCTGCTTTATATCGATTTCCTTCTCTTTTTAAGCTTCTTTCCTAACAATTAGAGATTTGTCTCATTATGCAAACAACACTCTCGCTAGTTTTTGCGTGCTTTATCTCCTAACTTGTCAACCTCTCTACAATGCACCTATCAGGATTTATTTGATCTGGTAAAAGTTAAATAGTCCAAACCCCCTGACAGACGTGAAGCAAATTATCGCTATGGCTGAAAGTAACGACAATATCAGACAAAGGTTTAAATAAGCACCTTATTTAAAATAAACTTAGAACATAAGGAACAAAGGGTGGATAAAAATGATAAGAAAAAGATTCTAGTATCAGAAGTAAAACATTCAAATATTATGCTTTCATTGTTCTTCCAGACATTCTCCAAAAGTAAGAAAATTCATCGCAAACTTTCTGTTTAACCATTATGTGTTGATATCAGGAGACATGTTTTCATTTGTCACATATTCTGAATTATTTAGAATCGTGTATCTAACAATCGTGCCTCAAATCCTACTAAACTTTTCAAGCTGCAATGTCTAAAATCCTAAAGAAAAATTATCTCTACCAATTCTGTAACATCAAAAAAGCCAGAACTATTTTGAGGGAAAAAAAAAAAGAAAGAAAGAAAAGAGAGAAGAGAGAGAGAGAAAGGAAAAAGTGTAAAATTAATTTTATAGAGAAAACTGATGCCTATTCTGAGACAATTACATGGGAAAACTCTTACTATGAAAAAATTAAAAAGAAGACTTTTTAGTTAATTACATAGCTAATTTTGCTTTTGCCAAGAGCTGTTTCATAAATTGTGCCTTATAGCATCATACTTCGTTTATTTTTCAGATTCAAAATATTGTTTAATAAGTTGCCAAAATGAAACTTTATAATATGACAGCGAAAAATAAAAATGTTTTATTTTAATGTTTTTTTAAATAAATTTTAATATATTACCATTATTTTAACGAAATTTATCAATGTTACAATGTTCTAAAAAATTCTCAGATCTTGGAATTTAAAAACTTTCTATAGAAACTGATCTTAAAATCGCCAAAATGTTGACAAGTCGCCAAATTTAGAACCGTTTAATAAAAGAATTCACATTGAAAGTTGTTTAAGATTTCTTTATTAGAAAAAGTGAATTTCGAAATCCTTATGTTTCACTTCTTTATTAGAAACTCGAGCATCCCCATCATTTATATTAGAAATAGAAACAAATTATAACCCATGAACCCATTCCAAAGATAACCATATATGTCAGTGAATCATCAAAAATATTTCTCCAAAATGCTAATTCACACTCAAAACGGCAGTCGTAAAAACAGACAGAAATTTCAGATGATTAAAATTAAGGACCTTCTGCTGATTTTGGCCAAAATTAAAAACTTTTAGGGACCAGAAATCAATTCCAAAAAATCTAAGGACTCTTAAGGACCGTACGAACTCTGCTCTAACAAATTATAAAACATGAACAATTTTTAATAGCATTAGACAACAAAGAATATTTGTAGTTAAAAAAAAAAAAAACTCCATTTAAAAAAGGGGTACAAAACTTTAGTCTTGGGTAAGTTAAGATAATCAAAAAGTGATTTTGAAACAAAAATACTAAGCAAAAGTGATACAAGAACTGAAACACTTTATTTGTGTGTACAATTCAATGAAATAAAAAAAATTCCTTAATTAAAAAAAATTAAACTGAAAAAATACAAAATTCCAGCTTAACATTTAAAAACTGATACAAATTTTAAAATGTGAAAAATATCCCCAACAGTTGTTAAAGTGAATTTTTAAAGACATATTTACTCATGCAAATTTACAAAACTTTAAAAAGAAAATTAATATTTATGGCATGCATATTGGCAACTGTAACTTCCTAGTTTAGAACTGAAGTTTGTGTAACGAAGTTATATCTCACAGTGCTAGAAGAGAACCTTTTCTGAGATAGAAACTTGTCATTCTCCTACCGCTGATTTCAATGAGAGAATTCCTAGCCCAAACAGTCTCACTAGAACCAATGTCCTGGTTATGTAGAGGGATCATTTTGTGATTCAAATGAAAATGTTTCGCTTATGCAGCTCTGTCTGCCTAAGTTTCCCCTTATTCATTACCTCCTATAAACACATATATATGTAATGAAAAAGAATTTTGCAATGTCGATCGCATAGTGACTAGAATGACTAGTGCTTTCATTTTGTAGTACCTTAGATGAGAATTCATCAGGAAATGATGATGATGAAATGGACAATCTTATTGGTAGATTTCAAAAGTTGGCAGCAAAAGTTGGAACCTCTGTAATCTGTCAGCCAAAACAAAAGGTAACTTTCCATTTTGATTTTTTGAATATCATTGAATTTTCTTTCAAATTAATTTTATTTAATAAAAAGATTAGACCATTCAAAAATATTTTTATAAAATTAAATACAAAACTTTTCCTTAGCAAAATTAAACTACAGAATTATTTTTTATTCCCCTGAACAACTACTTATTTTTAGGTTAATCGAAATAAAATAATTAAATCACTTTTTAATAACATTAAACATTCACTTCTTAATCCCACTGGTGGTCATGGGAGTTCAACTAGGTTCAGTCCCAGGCAAATGGGGTGGCTGGCAGGTTAATTTTAGTGGTTTTCTCATGTGTAACATGAATATGAGTCAGTTTCCCTTGGAAGGCCCTCCACAAATGCATCCCTCTTTTTAGGCAAATATCTTTTGCGTGTTTAGCTATATGCAGATGCTTATGAGTATGTTCAGATTATAGGAAACCCTTCAAATTCTAAGCTTACACCCTATATTGATAATCACTAATATACTGGTATGCAATCTCAGCTAACAGCAGTAACAATATTTGATTTACGTTGGTGAATCCATAATGAACAGCAAACTTGCAGATTAAATACTCATCTAGGCAGATTAAATACTCATCTATATTACTAGGCAGATTAAATACTCATCTATATTTCAATTGACATTTGCATCTAAAATGCACTTGACACTGTAACCATGACTATTCAAGAACATTTATTTAAATTTTTGACACTACTGCGATAGGAAGAAAAGCAGCACAACAGTGTGGTTTTTGAAGGAAATTTATCTCTATTTATAGAATGTGCTTCAAGTATGTGCGATAGAAAATTACCATTTGCAGTTCCACTTTACTTAATAGGATTTCATCAGTCGAAAATCCAATTATCATCTTCATGTGAACTTATTCATAATTTTGCAAAGAAACAAAATTATTATATACGCCGCAGATTCTATTTTTATATCTAAATTTTGCTTAAAATTTCTGCAATTTCATTACGCTGTTTTGAAAAAACATAAAATGGAATGAAAGGATGACAATTCAATATCTTTAAATGCAAGAAATTTGTGAGTACTTTTAATATTATTTTGTAATGCATTTTTAATACTTTTTAATATTGTTACCATAGTTTACACTAAATATTTTTCTTGGTCATGAAATAGATAATTTGGTCATCTATTAATATAATTAAAAATGTTTTATGAAAAAGTAAACTATTGATAATTATTATTTTTTTTTAATTGGATTAACTGTAAAGCATTATTGAAAGATTAAAAATTATGTGGTATCAGAAATTCGAATTTAGCAAATTTGGTTTTTAACAAACTAAAGGATTTTAATGTTTAATAAACAAATTAAAGAATTACTTGTTGAAGGTTATA